ATTATTGAGCACGTTCGTTATTATAGCGTTTGTTTAGCGTGATTGTTGAAGTTGAGTGTATCGGTAAAATTATATTCGGAAAGAATAAACCAGTTTTTATTAAGAAAGAACTTGTGTCGCTTAAGTTTCGTCGGAACGAAGTTATGGAAAATCAATTAACAAACGGAGACGTAACATGCTGTTTTAAGAAGATTAGCCTTCTGGTTCTCCAATTTTTTCTGAATGACAGTAAAATTAATTCAAGTTTAAAAAAGGAACGACCATAATAGTTGGCATAAAAATAAATAATTAATTCTTACCTTAAATGTGATTTGCAAATGTCTTAAATAAAGATGATAATAATTAAACTTCACTTACTTAATCTTTTTCACAACATAGTAATTGTTGTTCATGAAACTGATGATATAAACTGTGAGCCTGATGAGCCCTGGTATCCGGAATAAGGCCTTGTGGCAGTGGATAGAGCAGATATGGTATAGTTGACATATTTTTCTTGGCTTTAAGTCGCAAGTTCGTAGAATGGATGGTTGCATTGCATCCTGCCTGATTTTGTGTTTCGTGGATTACTTGTGGTTGTCACATGGAGCAGAGATATTTCGGTTTGGTAAGTTATGAAGAGAATATGCTTTGTATATGCAGTTTTGGCAATTTAAGAGATATGTTTGAAATTGAAAAAGAGCAATTTGTCTATTTCTTTTGTTGTTGTTTTTGAGTTAATCAAGATTTGACGGTAAAGTTTTGTAATTTATCCATGAAACACCAGACAATGAGTGTTTAGTTGAATTAATTGTACATGAAACACCAGACAATGAGTGTTTAGTTGAGTTAATTCTACATGAAACACCAGACAATGAGTGTTTAGTTGAGTTAATTGTACATGAAACACCAGACAAATATGTTTAGTTGTGTTAATTGTACAAGAAACACCAGACAAAGTGTTTAGTTGAGTTAATTGTACATGAAACACCAGACAAAGATGTTTAGTTGTGTTAATTGTACATGAAACACCAGACAAAGATGTTTAGTTGTGTTAATTGTACATGAAACACCAGACAATGAGTGTTTAGTTGTGTTAATTGTACATGAAACACCAGACCATGTACAATTAACTCAACTAAACACTCATTGTCTGGTGTTTTATGTATAATTAACACAACTAAACACTTTGTCTGGTGTTTCATGTACAATTAACACAACTAAACACTTTGTCTGGTGTTTCACGTACAATTAACACAACTAAACACTTTGTCTGGTGTTTCATGTACAATTAACACAACTAAACACTTTGTCTGGTGTTTCATGTACAAATAACACAACTAAACACTTTGTCTGGTGTTTCATGTACAATTAACACAACTAAACACTTTGCCTGGTTTTTCATGTACAATTAACTCACCTAAACACTTTGGTTTTTCATGTACAATTAACTCAACTAAACACTTAAAAACCAGACAAAGTGTTTAGTTGTGTTAATTGTACATGAAACACCAGACAGTGTTTAGTTGTGTTAATTGTACATGAAACACCAGACAAAGTGTTTAGTTGTGTTAATTGTACATGAAACACCAGACGAAGTATTTAGTTGCATTAATTGTACATGAAACACCAGATGAAGTATTTAGTTGCATTAATTGTACATGAAACACCAGACGAAGTGTTTGGTTGTGTTAATTGTACATGAAACACCAGACAATGAGTGTTTAGTTGTGTTAGTCAAACTTGTTAATTTCTCCTCTTCTGCATTTGTTTTCACATTAATATTTGATCCAGCCAAATCTTCGGACCTGTTGTTATGTAGCGGTAGTTTACCTGTATGCTATTCTTCCTCTAAACCAGGAATACCACATCTGTATGGCTTTTAACTAAATTTGTACTTTATTATTATCAAAGTCAAATGAGTGAGGAAAGACTATCCATCACCAGGGGACTAGACCTCCCTATTGCTAATTCAAACAAATTGTGTCCAGTGGAAGCTACTATCCATCTCCAGGGGACTAGACCTCCCTATTGCTAATTCAAACAAATTGTGTCCAGTGGAAGCTACTATCCATCTCCAGGGGACTAGACCTCCCTATTGCTAATTCAAACAAATTGTGTCCAGTGGAAGCTACTATCCATCTCCAGGGGACTAGACCTCCCTATTGCTAATTCAAACAAATTGTGTCCAGTGGAACCTACTATCCCAAGTTCAATTGGATATAATGTTACGGGTTTATCCGATTTTCTGCTGAGATGAAAAGGTTGCCTTGTCTTAAAGCACTGTCTCTTAGGGGTCAAAAGGTTAGCCAATGGAGACTGCCACTTTGAGGTCAAGGTCAAATAGATCTTTTTTTCAAGGGTATATGCCTTTGTACTATTAATAATCTGATAGAAGCAGCATATTCACTGCAGTACAACAGTTCATTAATTTCTCTCTTCATAAATAACAATAATGATGTACATATAACAATTTCTACAACTTGCTGTCCCTTTACTTAAAAAAGGTGAGGTTTCAAATGATTACACTCTATCAGTGTTGTTTCCAAGTTTAATGTTTCATCCGCTACATTTTTATTTCTCATCGTTGCATGTGGCAATATGACTTTTTTTTTAGATTAGTTGGTTCTCCTTATTTTATACAGAATAAATGGTAGTAACAATGCCTGAAAGTAGCACTGTCACAAGACAAAAGAAACTTTCTTTTGCTCTGTTTCTTTTAATTATCTTGGAATTTCTTTTTTCTTTGTCTTTTCAAACTGCTGACATGATCGAGAGTTTCAAGCAGAAATAAGCATTAAATACTGAAGAGAACTGAGGATGACACTAGTATGTTATCTTATCCACATCTTATGTGGAGTCTTAATGTCATGTTGGAGATTAGCATTAAATTCTTTCTTTCAATGATAGGTTTGCCAATGATTAACAGTAAATGTGACTATAGAAACAAGGCTTGGAAAATAACCATTAATTTTCAATACTATTATTCATATTCACTGTTTAAACTATCACCACCACGGATGTGAATTATCAAATACAGATTAGTGAAAATCTCAAGCAAGTGTGTAAGATAATACAAGACATACTATTAAAAAAACTAACATTTTTCATATACTGTACAATTTAAAGAACTAAGACTCTAATGATGGATTACTGTACAATATTTTACAGTTTGTTTACTATATACTGTTGTTAGAAGGTACAAATACAACAAATGTACTAGTCACTTGACATTACAAACCCTGTTTAAAATGTTATATTTATTTTATTTTATCAATGGGAATACTCTTTTCTTTCCAAATACCAGACTAGTAGTTTTATTTGAGTTATCTTTCAATATCTATACATTACATATAATAATAATAATAATCCAAATCCCTTTATACTCAATTTCACATTGCAAAAGAAATCCTTTCTTTATCACTCTTTTTAAAATTGAACACAAAACACCTCTTTCCTTGATCACCAAGAATGCATATTTTTTTAATGTAGATGTATAAACATTTAGTTCACAAAAAACTGAAGGTGTATAATTATGTTACACCCAGCAGTGACTAATATGAACTGTCTGTTAAAATAAGGAAGCACTCAGTAGCTGTGAACAGACCATTACCCTGTGTGTGTGTGCCAATTTCATATTCTCTTCCATTTGGAGAAAAACATAAATTGATTTAAAAACATGTTCTTGTGCTACTACATGTTAATTTTTTTAAGGTTTGAAAGAAGAAAAAAAAACTATTCATTCAAGTTCTTAAAAGCTGATTATCCACTAGCTAACAACGCACATGTAGTCCACTTATGTTTAAATCAGAAAAGTTTTCAAAATGAAATTCCATTTATGTCCCCCTTATTTAAATTAAATCATTGAATATGTATCAAACACTGATTCATGGCTAGCATGATTTATGTCAAAATGGACACAGGAGAAACATAATTTGTTACATCCTTAAGAAGATTTAATCAGTAGGGACTAAGCATGGCCTCTTAAAATTTTAGATAACAGAAAAGCTTACGTTGTCAACATGTTTGAGATTCAACAACCCCAAATATCTCTTTTCAGCACTGGATTTTAAAAGTTTTTTTTTTGACTAATATCTAAGTTTATCAACAGAAGAAATTGGTTTGGGACTCCCGAAAAAATAGGTTATATAATCAGGTTATATCATTTGATGGTGGTATGCGAGTCATGTATATACCATGTAAAATTTTCTACCAGTTCATACTGACACCAAATTATTACATTCAAAATATCCATGCAAACAAGGGCAATTTCCTATTACAAGTAACCACAAGCACTTTGTCCAAATAGGAAAACAACACCAAGAGCACATTTTTTTTTGCTGCCTTTAGACTTTGTCCTACAGGGAGAAAACAAGGTAGATAGAAACCACACGATCTTATCTCACAGCATTCCATCTGACAGATTATGGTGGAGGTACTCTTTCTACATGGGAGTCTGTACACTATACAAATAAAATACAGAAAGCCAAAAAATAATTTACTGTGTGTTGCTACTGAAAAAATAAAAACTTCTGCTAAACATAGTGATTACGCTGATTTACAAGTGTATGAAAAAAAAGTGTTGGCATAAAGCTTAACTAATTTAACTAACAGCTCTGCTGGTGGTCAGAAACATCTTTTGATTATTGAACCAAATACTCATACGTGTCACGAGCATCTTTTAAAAACAGAGAACCAAATCAGGAATTAGTACAGGTTTTTCTCATGCTCCTTTTACAAGAAATTTTCTTGATTGTTAATGGTATTAAAAAATTACCCAAGAGAACCTTAGTTCTCAAAAAACTTCTAAACAAACAAAATAAAAAATATATAATCTCATTTAATTTTTTTTCAATTTGATGATTTTATTTGACAAAACTGGAAGTATTTAAATGTTTAGTTATTATCAATGTCTAAAGAATAGGACTCTGTATAAGTTCTCAAAAGCTTCAATTTTCAGGAGAATGTGCTTGGTTTTCTCATGAAGTCCTGTATTAATATTTGCAAGTATTTAATCACTGGCTCAAAAGATTTCAGAGCTACTTACTTAATAAGACACTAGGGGAATGAAACAAGACTTCTGAAAACTACTACTTCTACCACATTATACCAGAACTCTAAAGTAAACTTTAACAGGGCAGAATTTGTAAAGGTTTGGATTATGCTTTATCACATGATTTAGAAAGAACAATATTTCAGAGTAAAATTTAAAAGAACACAGTTTATATCTATAAAAACTGTTTCTAGACAGACAACATTCATAATAAAAGTAAATATTGATAGATTTAAAATTAATGCTTTAAGCCATTTCAGTATAACTGAATTATGTCCATAAATAACCAGTAGTGTTTTAGTTACCAATATATTTTCCTCTAATCTTATCACGGATGAGGACACAGAATTTCAGACATGGTTTTACAGTCAGTTTACATTTACTTCCTATAAGCACTGTCCCAAAACAAAAGTAGTCATCACCAAATAATTTCAATCCATGCAAGTGCAACTTAAAACTTTGCTACTAAGAGGTCTTGATTCTCATCACACAAAAACTTTTGCCAGAGCATCGGCACCAGCACTAGCGATGTACGGCTTTGAAGGATGGAAAGCCACATCATAGATGGATTCATCAAATTTTTTTCTATGGGAAGTGATTTCTTGAACACAGGTCTTGTTGTCCATGTTCCAGAGCCGTATAGAACAGTCATGACCTGAAACACATGAAGCATCATTATTTCACAGTACACTACATATTGCACCATACATGGAATAACAGTCACTTTACAGTGGATACGGAGTTCAAGGCTTCAGACACAAACAAAAACTTCTCGGAAAATTAAGCAATATCAGGTCTTCCAGCAAAGATGACATTAGGAACTTCTGTTAAATCCCTAAAAGCTGATTTTAAAGATTGTGAGAATCTTTAGTTAAGAACTGATAGAAGCTAATCTTTACAAGAAGTTGCCTTTACAGAAAAATTATTTGTAAAAATTATTCTTTCCATGGTTTAAAAACTTCTATAGAAAGAATCAGAAAGTTGGAACTATTCTTTCCATGGTTTAAAAACTTCTCTAGAAAGAATAAGAATCTGTAAGTTGAAACTATTCTTTCCATGGTTTAAAAACTTCTCTAGAAAGAATCAGAATCTGTAAGTTGGAACTATTCTTTCCACAGTTTAAAAACTTCTCTAGAAAGAATCAGAATCTGCAAGTTGAAACTATTCTTTCCATGGTTTAAAAACTTCTATAGAAAGAATCAGAATCTGTAAGTTGGAACTATTCTTTCCACAGTTTAAAAACTTCTATAGAAAGAATCAGAATCTGTAAGTTGGAACTATTCTTTCCACAGTTTAAAAACTTCTATAGAAAGAATCAGAATCTGTAAGT